TATTAAATTAATGTTGATCCTACACATCTAAAGCAGAAAAAAACCCAAAACTAAGTTGGGACTCTTCTGTCAAAATAGTGATTCCTGGAGGAAGCTATGTCATTCAAAGTAGCGTTAACAAAGACAATTTAACACAATCTTGGTAGATGTGTGCCTGTGCACACCTCCTCTTTAAATCGTCTCAGCTGTACCTAGGCCACTGCTCAGGACCCAGAGCTCCGTATTCACACTGGTATTTTCTTAGCTTCCAACCGCCTCAGAAAGTTACTGACCTGCCTCCTACTGGAACGAGTGCAAATGGGACCGCCTTTTGGTTACTTTTATCTCTGGAGAGATCCTGTGAGGGGCCCTCAGCTCTGGAATTTATTCCCCTCTTTGCCTGAAAACAGCCTCCAACAATCTTTGACCTTCTGGGTAACCTGTGAGGCCCAAATCCAAGGATTTGTTCTGGGAGAGGCATAAGAAAGGTTGGCATTTGTGGGTGTGGTAGGAAAGCATGTTGTCAACAGCTGATTTAGTCCTTGGTTTATAATTTTCTCATGTTGTGGCAGTTTTCCTGTACGGCAAGGTAAACTTAACCCAGGGAGACTTAGGCTTTCCTAAATGGTCATAAATTAGGAAAAAAAAAAATGCATTTAAATCAGCCAGTGTATGAATGATTGTGTGTATGTGAACAAAACGACCTGGCAAACAAGTATGTCATAAGTCACTTTTGCTAAAATGATCCTTCTAGCCTTGCAAATCACACAAGTTCTGCGTGTGTCTCTGGGGAACTAACAGCATACACAGGTGAAACAGCGTTGTTGGGACTGCTGATAAAGGAACATATAACACTTTAATTAACTGAGAATACTTAATATGTTGCCCTGTCTATGTTGCAACTGAAAGGCAAGCTGTAAACACCTATTAAAACAGCACTATTATGTCCTATTACCAAAGTTCTCATCTGTCACCTTTTAAATATTTTAATTTGAGATTCTTTAAAAGCTGCCTCCGCTGCTCTTACACTTTGGATGTAAACAGATTTGTTAAATATTTTATTTCTAACCCACCCACGAAGTTACATTCATTTACATAACTTAATGAAGGCTGCATTATTCATTGAACTTCTCATATAACATTTTTCATAAGACATTATTAAAGCAAGCTAGCCTAGTAATGAGTCTTCTCTAAACTCACTGCCAGTTATGTTTCCTTTCTCCTAATCTATCACTTTAATGGTTGCAACTAATAAACTTTTCGAATCTGTTCTGCTAATCTGTATATGTTTTGCGTTGCATGCTGGATGTATAACTTGACAGAGAATTTACAATACAAACCACCTGGCAAACAAAACTATCTGGATTAACAAATGCTACCCAAACCTGTTTACCCTTTTGTATTGGAATAGAGGAGACAACTATGTGTAACATAGTACCTTTGAGCCATAAATAAAATAATTAATTTGGGGCTGGAACATACCCTACTGAGCAGTATGTCCCAAACACAAGATTTGAGACTGCTTTTTATAATTTCAGAAACATTGCCAAGAGTCAGTAGATTGAAGCTTGGCTTATGTGAATGTTCAGCAGAATCCTTGTATAGGATTCTATAGTCTTGCATAGGATCCTATTAGGCCATTCCAGGAAAGATGGCACTTGAAAGTCAAGGATGGAATATTTCACATATTGTTAAGTATTTTTCTTGGTACGTCTCCAAATGCTATTCTAAATCACTGACCAGAATGAAAAAAAAAAAAAAAAAAAAAAAAGATAGATTGAAATGGGGTAGAAAGGACAACTTTTTTGTCAGCCTCTCCTCTTGCCAGGTCCAGGAAAAGTCTTCTCTAGTAAAGGTAAAAAAATAAAACAAAATGTCAGAAGAGTAAGTGCAAAACCTTATGTATACACAGCTTCAAATTATACTGTCCCTTCAATAGATGCTTTTATGAACCAAAAAAAAAAAAAAATCATTTCCCGGCTCAACTGCTGAAAGCAACATGGAAGTAACATGTCCTTGTTTCACTAGGACAAAATAAATCTGATCAAATTCTTTTTAGTCAAGCAATATTTCTTTTATTTCCAATGAGTCTTCAGCATTCATTTGCACATTTTTTTCTTACTCACTGTTACCTGTTCTGACCGTATCTGAAATACTATTGCCTTTCAATCAAGAATTGATTTATCAAGTAGCATTCCTCAATGTCAATTTACACCAATGTCATTCTTTAATGTCATTTTTATTCAAGAATGGATATAACTATGTGTTGTTAAGAACCACACATTTAGCATCACACAGATAGTTCAGAAATTCTAAGCACCAGAGATGCTGCTGGCTGGCAGGAGCTATTATTCACAGGGGTGCAAGATAAGCGTGAGTTCCAGTAACTCACCTTACCCTCAGAGAAGAGCCAGCGTGCTGCATATGAACCGTAGCTTCTTACTCCAGGACTGAAGCATAGCACCTACTGAATTGTGGGTGTTTGTTGGAAAGAGACCTAGTTAAAGATTTTCCTTTTAAATGACAGGTTAATTAAGAGGATGAATACAAAATACCCCAAAAAGGCTCAATTACGAGAAGGGAGTGAGTGCTTCTCTCCAAATCTGGCCCTTTAATGTGCTTCGGCTTGTGAGCCTTGGAGCACCAGTCACTCACGGCAACACGGGATACCACTTGCAAAAAGAAAGCTGGAGCCTGGCTCTAGGAGCTACCTGTCAGCCACGGAGCGGACAGAGGTGGCTGCTTCCTCTTCCTGCCACCTCCGTCTCCGCTGAAGCACCCCAGCACACACAACATTCACACAGGGAGCTGGACTGATGACAAATAGTTTTTTGGTACATAGTTTTTCAGCAGTATAGGTTCCTGCATCCAGCATAACAAGAGGGGTATGGGCTAGGGGTGCAGGAGCTGGCCAGGCCCTAAATAGGAGCCACAGTCTCAGCATGTGCCCACACCAGCTGCTGCTGAGCGGGCAAAGCTACATGATCATACCAGAACTCACCTGAAACTGGTCTGCAGCCAGCATCTAAGCTGTCAAGATACAGCTGCATAGAGGAGATTAGCAGGGGTTGTAAAACCTGCTCAAGAAGTTGGGCAAATATTTTAGCAATTAACCCACACTGAGCTCCATATTACTGCAGCTAGGCTGCTACCATTTCTTGGGGTAGCTTGTTTAAATCCAGCTCCAAGATGCCTAAATTACACAGCAGTGGCAGATCATTTAACTACAGAGATAAATTACACAGGGGCAGTGCCTAACATAGGTTATGTTGTCATGATTTACAGCAGCTGAGGATGTGCCCCCAGATGTCCAGATAAAACCAAATTAAGTATACGATTTCTTTTTCTCCAAATGTAAAAGACTTGCAAACTTGACTCAAAAATGAAAAAGGAAACAGAAATGCATGTATGACCTTAGACTTACACTATGAGTGTTCACATTCTCCAGACAGCACTTAGACTCCCATTCTTTATAAAAACAAAATGTAAATTAAGAAGCCCATGCAAAAATTTCCACATATAAAAGACTTTAATTAAAAATAAGGAAAACATTTCAGCATCTATTTGGACTTGCAGAATGTTGTAATGTTAAGGAAGAAAATGTTAACAAGGGATACCAAGACAAAAGTCTTGCTGCTCTCTGGACTTCAGATCACCTCCAAATCAGGCTTAGGATTTGCAATTTTCCACTACTATGTTAGTAATAAAGGGGTCTTAAACTGAGATTAATCATCAAATCCCTGAAAAACTTAATGGTACAAGAGGTTTGCATAGCAAAACTTATTTAAGTTTTTAAACATTACCAAGAACTCAGGCACAATCTAAAAATAAGATCTTTTGTATTTTAAGACTACAAAAAAATAAATATGAGAAAGTCTTGATAGTTACGCTCATATGTAGGTTGCATCTAAGGTCTTACATTAGAAGCTTATGTATTTAAAATTCTATCTGGAAGCATATCAAATGTATTATAGAAACACTCCTTAAAAAAACAACCTCCAAACCTCACAGATGCTGTTAAACACCTGTAGCAAATTTGAGCAACTTAACTCCATCCTTAATTTTGACCTTGGGAGAACATAATGAAAAAGTGACTGTTTTCCAGAAGCAAACAAAAAATTAAATTAGTCTGTATGGTGCTATAAGTGCTCGTGACACTGAATTACATTGGTTTACTTTGTAGATGTTTATAGAGCCAGTCTCTGTTGTTTGACTTTTGAGGGAAGACTAATAGGTGTAGTAATGGGGGCTGGGGGGGAGAGCACAAAAAACCTTATGGTTAAGCCAAAACAGGGGTCATGCCTGGGGCATTTTATCTGCCCTGCTTACACACCCCCGGGGAACTGCATCTCAACAGTTGATTCCCTGTTAATCAATTCACATTAGTGCTTGCCTTTTAGTTTTCACTTTGCTGGATTCCAGGAAAGAAGTTTTTAAACCAAATGCATGCTCTATCTCTGACCTAGTCAGAGCTGTCGCATTTCAAGAAGAAATCAGCAGATTTTATTTGCTCTACCAACTGATAAGAGACACCTTCCTAAGTAAAGATTCATAGCCAGCAGACTCAACACAGAACAAGACCCAGTGGTCTGTTTACACAGGTCAGCAGTAATACGGGAGGAGAGGACATGTATGGATTTTTTTTTTCCCACAGCATATTTTCTCTAGCTACAAAGAAAGACTCATGTTATTATTCTTCTGCTCCCCTTTACTTTCTTATTTACTATGGCTCGATATTACGTGCTTGATAAGGAGACCTGTAGCCCTTGCTGTCACTCAATGCTGTTTTCAGTGAGCATGTGTGGTTTTGCACTGCTCTTGCCACTTACAGGTTAAAACTTAAAAAACAGTTTACTGTTCACAAGTGAGAACAACATTGGGGGTGGGAGGCAGGGGAGAGTTATGAGCATAGAAATAGCAAATAGCTCATTCACAAAAGCAGATTTGACTTTACAGCCAAACCCTTTAGACCTCTTGGTTAAGCTACTCTCTAGCATACACGCAGATCTTCATACAGAGGATCATCAAAAATAAATTTTATTATCAAACTTAAAATTCACACATTAAACAAAATCTAGACACAAATAATGCTGAAAACATTCTCAAACAATAACCATTTAGGTAATTTGGATGAGTAGCTAGTTACCATTGTTTCAAATGCCTTTAAGAATATTTCTTAATACACACACGATTGTGAAATGTCTTCAAATGCTTAACCGGCCAGCTCTCAGATTTTTAAATAGGGGAAAACTTATTTCTATAGAAATAACATTATCTAATTATGAATCAGAGACCCATAATTGTAGTGCTTGGGGAAAAAAATATCGTAGCCTTTTGAAATATTTAGAAGACATAAATAACTATTGTACATTTACAGGTTTAAATATTTAAAGGCCTTCGTTACTATAAAAAGTTACTATGTACATATTAGATGCTACATAGAAATCCAGCCGGAGGCAAGTGTTGAGCTCTCAGATTTGGCCGCTGAAACCTATGAATTTGGTAGGCAGATTGTCCACAGGATACACTATGGGGCCCGTTTTCATTGTAGGAGGTCCATTCAGCAGCTGCCAGTCGCAGCTCCGAGCCAACTCCACTGTAAATATTTTTAGAAGGACTTTTGCAAACTCTTTGCCCACGCAGCTCCTCAAGCCCCCACCAAAAGGAATGAAACTGAACCTAGAGGAATCCTCTGGAGATGGAGACATGAAGCGATCCGGGTTAAATTCATCCTTGTCGGTAAAGAGGTCTGCCACGTCGTGGGTATCACAGATACTGTAAATGACATTCCAACCTTTAGGGATCTGGTAACCCTATCAAAAGAAGATAAAGGAGACATGAAGTGCCTTGTTGTGTTAAATAAGGTCAAGTGTCAGCACAGGACATGTCGCTGCACCCCACCTCCCCTCCTGGCTTCCTGCCGGTCACTCTAAGGCAGATAGGCTACATGAACGCACTAGTACTTTGCAGCTGCTCTGAGGAGTGGAGCCCAAGCCTTGCTTACATTTAGCTCAAGGGTCTTGAGTGCAATTCGAAATCCTCCAGGAACAGGTGGGCTCAGCCTGAGGGTCTCTTTGATGACACACCCTGTGTACTTCAGCTGCTCCAAGACCTCCATGTCCAGCTGCTTCTCTTGGTTGGGACTGCACAATAACCCCTAGAAAGGAAGATGCTTCCATGACATTTATGGAGCAGGCGGCCAGGGCTCCTGGCACTGCAAAGCAGCTGTCCCTTAGCAAGTGGTGTATTTCTGCCACCCCCAAAAAGTAGGTCACCACTTGGGTCGAGAGGAGCCCTGCCTGGGACACCCCTCTTGGAGGTACCTTCCCACTGCCCCCTCCTGTGAAATGGCTCTGGGGAAGAGACACACCTTCACCTGCAGCTCCTTCCTCACTTTCTGTAGGACATCATGGTGGAGCCCTAGGAAGGCAATCAGTGATGTGGCAGCACTAGCGGTGGTTTCATGGCCCCCGAACAGCAGCTCTGTGGCAGACTCCTTCAGCTCCTTACACAGATGACAGAGGAGGGATAAAACAGGCCTTGAACCTATCTCTACCAGGCCCACTCGACCACCACAATGCTGTACATTGCTCCCAGACTGGAGCAAAAACCCAGGGACCAAGATGGGGGTGGTGCTTATGCTCCCTGTGGGCATGGCTCCACAGCAACAGCCTGTTTGCAGCCTCTGCACCCCAGTGCACTACATAAGCTGGTTTATTTCCTGGGGAGAGGAAGGACCTCTTGCTCTCTCCTTTTGGCCCCAAAAGATAAGTGAGCTGCTGACATTGGGGCTGAGGGGAAAGGACAGATCTGGCCCCGGGAAACCTCACCTGCATGTTGAGCTGCTCCCCGTTGCCCTGCGTGTGCTCCATCAGCAGCTGCAGCGCATCCTTGTAGCCACCCTCAGGCTCCTTACGGGCCATCTTAGCACGGATGTTCTCCTCGATCTTGGCGTGGATGATGTTGCGGGCTCGCAAGCCCTGACCGAGCAGCAGGGAGAGCAATGTGGGATTTAGGCCGTACTGCCATACCTCCCATCCGTCCCCCCCATCCATCGCCCACTGCTCTGGCTGCCGGGGCACCCCTCTCCTCCCAGCCTGCCAGGAGCCTTACCCGGTAGAGCCCGCTGAAGGGCACGTCAATGGGGAGAGAGAAGAGGTTGCGGATCATCTCCTCGAAGGCCTCCACCAGCTGTTGCTCGCCATCGGGGCTGGCCTGGCGGGGCTGGAAGCCCAGCAGGATCCTCATGGCGATGCGAAACATAAGGCGCTTCACCTCGGGGTAAACCAGCAGGCAGGGCCCGGCGGCACCCAGCCACCGCGCCA